TCTATGTGTTAATATGCACAAATTGAGGCTGAATGAACACTGGATTCTACAGAGGTTGCCAAAATAATTTATTCAGAATATGTATAATATACACACGAAAAATTTAAACAAAATCCATTCTGGAAATATGTTTTTATTGTGCCAACAGTTGAAGCTGCTAATAAAAAAATGCTTTGTCCATCAATACAGCGACAGTACATATGTATAGACTTACAGCATCTTTTCTATTTGAATGAATCAACCTGCTGTAGGACGTTGCAAGTTTGAAAAGTTTTTACAACCAGCAGCTCCTCGCCTCTAAGACTTTACAAAAACCAAGGCTTACTGATCAATCAAGATGAACACAAAGATTTCTTTTTTAGAGGTCTCCATCTACGTCCAGCATTTCATCTGGTATAAACTATTCTAACTCCACAGCCAATGGTCAGAGAACTTTTAGACAGTAACACTATCACCAAAGGTAATCATGGAAATAAGAGGACATTGGCAGATTTTACTGAGTGAAAGTTTAAAATCTTAATGTCCACTCACTGCTTGTTACAACCTGCAGCTCCCAACCGAAGCACAACTTAGTCATAATCCTGCTCTAACGTAAAACCAAACCTCAGTTTTCATGGCCAACAGAACATTAGCATGCTTATTGCTCTCACCGATTATCCTCACTATGTACGCTACATTAGCAAACTGTACGATTGGCCAACCCCCTGCCTGCACAATCAACAGAGAGCGTGAATGAATGATCAGCCATTAGCAGGTCGGGTGTGAACTGTGAAAATGGGCTCTCACACCAATGACTGCAGGAGGCCTTGATTCGCTTTAGCCTAGCCTAGCATCTCGCTAGTAAGGCCCTGCAATTGTTACACAGTGGCAGTGCATCAGCTAGCTTTAGCCTGCCTCTGCCCAATGTAATGCAGTGGAATACAGACAAGTGTAGCGTGCTGAAGCCCAGTCTAGTGGAGTACACTGTGCAAGATCATAGTAAGACTCCTTGCTAGCATATGCTTGTGTTTAATGCAGCGACCTGCTTCTGCATGGTGAGTTTACACATACCCTGCAGTGAAGGTAGTGTGTGTGTGAATGTTTGTGTGTGTGTGTGTGTGTGTAATATCAGTAATCAGTGTACCTCAAACAGGCAGAGTATAACTAGGCCTGGTGTGGGGAAAGTGCTGTAGACCAGCTCTCTGCCGGCCCATGTTGACTGTTTTAGCAGCTGTGTGTGTTTGTGTCTGTGTGGGGTGAAGGATACTAAAATTGGAGACACGACATTTTGATGCCACCAAGACAGCGAAGGCCGTCGGGTTAAGGTAACAGAGAGAGGTGTCAGCGAGTGTGTTGTTTGTTCATCACAGTTTGTTGTACTGAAACTAGCAAAAAAAAAAAAAGTAGTTCCTCTGGTGGAGGATTGTTAGGGATGCAATTGTGCATTTTGTTCTTATAAGACTTTTGACCTCTGTGTACAAACTTTAACTTTGTGTCTGCGTGTGTGTGTGTGTGTGTGTGTGTGTGTGTGTGTGTGTGTGTGTGTGTGTGTGTGTGTGTGTGTGTGAGGGGCGGGGGTGGGTGTAGGTGTGAATCAAGCAGTGTTACTCAGGTCCCTGTGGATGGGATGCTATCAGAGTTGCCAGCATGAAGGCAGAAGCATGTCAGAGGAGGATTTCAGATGGACAGAACAATATTTGAGATCATTTCTTAAAGGGCATCATCAGTGTCAATTTGTCAAAGACGACATGAGACTGATTCTGAATTAAACAACATAATATACATATGGTAAACCATCACTTATGATTAGTAGTAAAACACGGGGTTGTGTCTTGCTTCCCATCAATGTCCGTCTCTGCTGTAGGACATCTGAACAACAGCAACTTGACGGTCGCATACTATACCTTCAGCCGAGCTTCACCTTTCATTTCAGGCATAGAGCAACTACTCTAACTTAAGGAACGGGCTTCCAGATCAATCTAAAAGTATTTACCATTAATTTAAATTATGCAAATGCTCTTAATTGCCCAGAAAAATAAGGTTATGTATAAAAAGAAACAGAAAAAAAATGAATAGCCTCTGTTGTTGAAGTTGGCAGTGCTTTAAGACAGATATAAATCTGACAGGATGTAGCCAGGTGTTTTTTACTGTGAATTTGTTAAATCAAATGCAATATTGTCACGATTTTATAAAGAAAATCTTAGTGTCATTAAGCCATCCAGCCTCACTGGACGACTTTATCCATTATTTTATCTGGTGTTGTTTCTTGAACTTTGTTGCAATTATGTACAAAAAAAATGCTTAGAAAAGTGAGGAAAAACGTTTCAATTTGTTTTCAAACGACTTTTCTTTAGCAAATATGTGGGCTGAGAGATTTGTGAACAGTTTAATAATTCATCTTAAAGATAAAGGAGACAGTCTGAGGCAAAGATGAACACATTAGTCACAACAGAGAAACCAAGATACTTCCGATCATGGACAATTTTGCTCTTTATCGAGTTTGACAGTGTGGAGGCGCGGGATGAGACAGGCGAGAGAGCGTGATACCGTGTTTCAACCTCATGCTTATTTGGTTTTTCCACTTTCACACCCCGCTCTAATTTCACAGTACACAGTCCTGGCTGCACCGCGGCTCGTTGTGGTCCCTTGGAAAAGAAAAAAAAAAAAAAAAAATCAGTGGACCAGACTGGACCCAAGAGCCGCTGACTGAGCTTGAGATCAGCTCAACACACCGATGGCTGCGTGTGCACGGTTAATTTGGTTGTTATTGTCGCTTATGTGTGTCCCAACGGAGCCAAGGCGTGTTGGTTCGAGGAGCCAGGTTTTAGTTCCACTCACTAGTCTAAACACACACATAGAGGCTGATGTGAGGTCCCTGTGGTCCGCTTCCCTCTTCATGTGTCAAAACGTACAACTCTTAACTCACACTGACTACATTACTTTCTCATTTGAGTAATTCAAACGGCAAGGCTTGACATTTTTGTGCTGGATTGTTTGCATGCACATACACTGAATCTTGTATACTTTCAACCTCAAACATATTTTGAGAATAAGTCATCTTCATTGCACAGTAAGGTTGGTTAAAAAAAATGACCTTTGTTTTTTGTAAGTTTTATAAAAAGGTTGTTTAATATACAGTGCAAATAGCATGATGTATAAGTAGCTGATTTAAGACAGTGAAAGCTCATAAACATTCTTACATTTCACCCTCGAGTGACTCTATCTGTTCCAGTCCTGTTACTTAAACGATGACCTCTCTATTCCCTGCCACTGAGCAGCCTGAGGACCATCAAATCCTAATCCCACTCTGTCATATTCACATCACAGTCCATCAGAAGAAACAAAACATTCGTTATTGCTCCAAATCACTGGCAGATCACCGGATCAAGACACTTTTTTTTTTTTTTAATAATCGCACCCAAAGTTCTTTCTTATGTTAACATCTCACTTGCCGCATCCTCAGGTCCTAATTGGCTGAGCTTGGAAATGTGGTCAGTGGGTATGTGATCTGGACATTGTGCATTGTTAAGTAGTCAAATAATGAGTAAGCTTTAAAACAAATAATGGCTGAGCTTTACTATTAAACTCTCACACTGGGGATTTATAGATTAGTGTCGCTTTCCCGACCTCTTCTCGACTCGTTCATGTGGCATCACAGACGCCGTTGCCCTGATCCTCGTGCAGGCTCAGAGTCATGATAATGAGCAACAGGATAGGTGCGACCAGGGACCGTGAGACAAATACTGCGTGCATGTGCTGTAAAGTGTAAACACTCCTAACTGGATTCACCTGATTTGTGCCGGTTTATGCCTCAATGTGCTGAGCAGCATTTCAGAGTCAGCACCCAGGCTCATTATAAGACCTAATTCAATTGACCTGGAGATGTAAACACATCTGTGTGGATATAAGAGGGCCAATTAGGAGCGCTGCGACACTGAACTGCTATGATTTGTTGTCCTGTGCGGATAATCGGCGCAGAGTCTGTAAAGTCACATTAAGAAACTAAGGTAATGGCATGTTTTGGAGTCTTTGTCAGAGAGGGAGACAAAAAAAAGAGATAAAGAGAGAGGGGTCAGAACAGGCCCAGCTAGTGTCCCATGCTTACTTGGGTGTAATGACCCATCAATGGTGACATCTTGTTCCATCAACTTCTGCTTCCCTTCACTTGTCTGTCTGAGCCTGCTCTCTCTCTCTCTCTCTCTCTCTCTCTCTGTTTCTCCTGCCCTTCCCCCCTCCTGCCTTCTGAAATCCATCTTCCTCTCATGTTTTCTCAGGTCGGTATAACCGCCTGTGAGCCTCTGATACATGTAGAGGAGAACCCTGAATCACATACCAGAGGAAACCAGTTGAGAGATTGTGCTGTATCTTTTGTGACATATTGTGTTTGGATAAAATGCTTAGGATCAATGTCCCTCATTACTTTATATTCCAAGTTTCACAAATTTGTGTTTATAATGACATCCCAAAAATATTGTTTTTGTGGCCCAATTTAAGTGCACCACATCTGTACAACACGTGTACAGGCCTATGCATACACCTTATATTATAGTAAACAATTCAACACTAATTTTAAATTAAAATGTTTTAACTATTCAGAGTTTGTATTTTAAATATATCTTTCTTAAAAGAGGTGTATATTTCCTTGGCTCGACACAGTGAAGCTTTGACCACACTTTGTACTAAATCTAACAATTGTGTGACCATGAAAGTGAATTTGATAACAAATACAATGAACTGTTTTCAATGATTACATAAAATAAAACCTTTTACATATTTAAAAGAATGTTACTCAACTCATCTTGATAACAATTTATTGTTTGTTTGAATCAGTAGTTTAAATGTCAGAAATGTGTTTTATGTAAACAATAGTCAAAAATAATTTGAAGTAGAGACACAGCAAAGTTCAACAAAAGTTCTTAAAGTTATCTGCTCTTACATAATACTTTCCTAATATTTTTATGCGTTATCTTTTTTTATGTTAACCATGAAAAGTTTAAACTTCACTTGAGAGTATTTTTTTACTTCTATGTCAGCCGATTGAAGATCTGAAAGGAGCCGTGCAACACAACTGTTGAGCCAGTGATAGCTTACTTCAGGTCATTTATATCTGTGGTAATATAGAAAACAAACAATTATAAACAGAACACACTTTACAGTTAGCCTTTATAAAAATATTTGGACTATCAGACAAATGGAAGAGAAATGTAACACTCAGGATACAAAATTTGTTTAAATAAAATATGGATGTAGAAATAATAATTTATCAAAAAAGGCAAAATGCAACAAATTAAATGTCTACAGGGCTAGAGTATAAGGTTCAACTCTTGGAGCTGGTGGAGAGTTAATTAAAACACAAGACACAAAATGTTGTATTTCTCACAAGTAACAAAAAAAACAAAAACACTTGAAGTCAATCAAGGAAATCACAAAATAAAATAAAACAGGCCTTCAAAATTTAGTTTCTGTCAGGGCACCTTTTACCCTCCATACATCAGACAATTATCAATACACTAAATATTCCCAATTATAGCAATTCTCTTCAGACAAATCCGTGCCCCAAACACATTACACTTACTGCAGGTATAGTCATGTGTGTGCAGATTGATTTAGGCAGGGGAAATCCTCCCACACCATTCAGCCAAACAGCCAGGCTTGAGGCCTGCCTTTTGGGGGAATCTCCACGAGGTTTTGAGGTTGATCCTTTAGCTCGCCATCTTCATCTGCACATTGCTCCAGCAATGTTTGCCTGACCAGTGTTCAAAGTCTGGAAACAATCCACCTCCTCAGCAGCAGCAGCAGCACATCAGCTCCTCAAGGGCTTGAAGTCTCTGGTAATTGATTGAATGCTTGTTAGCATGAACTTGAGCTTCACTTTGCACAATTGATAGGGAGATTTGACTCACCAGGTAAAGAAAAGGTCCAGCTTTGTGTCCAGGGTTCAAAGTAACAAGTTTTCACTTTCAGAAGTTCACAATGACTGTTTGAGAGATGGTTGTGTCCTGACCTTCTGGCTGACTGCTTGTGAATTGTTTCAATTAGGTGATTAGTTCACCTGTTGGCTACAGACTGCATCCCATTGGCCCAGGTGATTTGATTGACAGCTGCTGTTGTCCAATGGAATGGACTATTTCAGCAGCGTTACAGAAAGCAACTTGAAATAAAAATCAAATTGTCACTTTGATTTCTGATGACATTTTTTCTTAATTGCCATCCTAAATGAATAATAGTACAGACAACAGCTCTGTCTGATGCAAATAAACTATTTGAATATTCCTTATGCCTTTATATATGGCCTGAGAGGTGTGTTTGAAAAGTCGACTCAGTTATGAGAAAAGAAGAACGCACAAAAAACACAAAAATAGAAATATGAACAGGGGTGCAAATGGTGTGAACACAAACGTCATGGCAGAATAAACTGCATTCTTTTTTCCTCTGTCAGATCTACGTGTTTGTGTGTTCCAGTGTGTGTGTTTGTATTGTGTGTATAGGCAGGGGGTCCAGCTGACGAGGCCTCTCGCTGGGACACTGGCAGGCCTAACCCGCCGCGGGCCCGGCTCTCAGCTCTACCTCTGACAGGCTTCATACTTATTGCTCAATGACATTCGATGTTTTCCTTCAGTTTGCTGTAAGATTGATTTCCCAGATATGTTTGAAAGATCTCCAGAGCCCTAGAGCAGGGTGACTTGCACAGTGGCACCGAGAGACAGAGGGAGAGAAGGAGAAGAAGGGGTGGGGGTGCAGAGGAGGAGACGGTGTGCACGGGGCAAAGGAAAGACGAAAATATGAAAATCCCATTCTCTGAGTTTCAGCTGCAGAAAACACTGAAGCTGTGTAGTCAATAGTAGATTCAAAAAGACAAAAGTTTATTTTTCCTGTGTTGTGTGCATCCTTGAGGTCAGACGAACATTTTGCATGCATTTTCTTCCTCGTGAAACATTTGCAAAAGCTGATTTCAAAAACATTCTCAGGATTTGTTCACCTCGGTTTGTGCTTTGCTAAATTTTGCCAAACGTCATTGGTAATGGAATACAAATACCTTGTTAATGTTTTGTATTTAATTTCCCCTGTTGCTTTACACATTGAACTCATTTTAAAACAATTATCTGAATTCTCTGCTCAATACCATTTCAAAACAGGATTGTTACTTTAGCTCAAATGTATTTGAATTATTCTTTTTATTTGCATTATTGCACAGCTGTCCGGACAGCAAGACCCAATTGAATCTATATGGATGGGTTATATAATATAAAGAAAAGATGATCCCATGGCTAAATCCATCTCTCAATGTAACACATGACAGATGAAACAACACGTTACAACACCCTGGGCAGCAGAAAAGAGGGGTCTTCTGAATGTGAGATCTGTGTCAGACAGTCAGAACTTTAAAGTAAATTAGATTCACATGAGCAGGTCTTTCCTTATTCAAATGATATGCACATTTATTCAAAGTTAATGTACTGTATATCTTTTTTCCGAATTACAAAGTGCCTACAGAATTTGACATGAGACAGCAGACAGTCCCTACTATCCGTGCTGTATACTACAATTGATTCAATGAATCCATCCTTGTTTGTTTTGATTTGAAGGTTACGTTAAGTTGGTTAAGTGACGATTTGCGTTTAATTTCGCACAGCATTGTGGGTGTTAATATAGAACTCATTTCCTGAAAGGATGCATCCAAACCATACTGCACAAAACCCAGAAGTTAGTAACCATGCTGAAATGTTCAGTATACTGAGGCGGACCCAAAAAATACCTACTGAATGACCACGAGTGAAAAGTCCATACTCCATACTGAACTCACAGAAACAGCTGCTGGCGATGTCATTAATAGATTTAATATTTACTTTTATAATGTGAGTGAACTTCAGAGCCTGTAAATGTTCACTTTTACTTCACAAAGGCCGTGGAATCCATACTTCTACTTTTACCAGTCATCTTATTTTCACACATGTATCTGTACTTCTACTTGAATAAAGAAGAATGTGTGTACTTTTTACAACTCCTAATGCGAGCCGGCAATTACATCAAAAATATGACTGTTTATGTTGTTGCTATCATGCCCTTCTGAAAATGTGTCCAAGTGGTCAGAAAATCCACAAGGACACTTCGTCTGCAAAGGTCTAGTAGTATCCAAGCACAGTAAATGTTTTTGTATGCATATAAAACACAATAACCAAGAACCTTTTCAAATCTGAGAAAGTATAAGACATGTTTTCTCCGAATAAATCAGTCAATGAAATGAATAATTTTAAGCAGTAATTGAGTTTCTCTTTAATGAACTTTAGTGTCCTTACTTTTGATTGTGAAGAGATTGTTACTCCAGTGAGTTTCAAATAAATGGGGGCATATTGAAGTAGGACCCACAGGGGGCCTGTCAGTCTGTTTGGCGTGACTCCTGTCATGGTATTCTCTCTTTCCTGATGTGTTTATCAGGATCAGATGAGGCCTCATTATGAAATCTCCCCCTTTCCCCTGAAAATGCATCATGGTGCATATGACATTATAACATGTCTCATCACTGAGCATTGGAGCACATTCACTGCTTTGTTTTCTTGGGGGAGGAGGGAGGGGAGGGAAGGGAAGAGGGGGTGGGCGAGATCTACTGTTTTAAACTCTTTAATGCAATTTAACAATGCCACATATTCTTTTCACGTTTCATTGGGGTCCCTTACGTGTGAAATTGCAAAGGCCTGCTTTGCCTGAGCGACACGGTGCAGCGGAGCAGGGGTCACACCGAAGCGCCAGATGTGGGAGGGAGAGCGAAATTAATTTCTACACAATGTTCAGTGGGTGTGTATGCACCTTTAGTGAATTAAGCGCTCTCTGGGTGTGACTGTTCGAATAACGGGAATTAGGTATGAGGCCTCTCACTCACAGCTGAAGCCAACTGTAGGCATTGGATCCAATTAGCTTATCTGGCCCCGTGTTCACATGCTTAACTTGTCGTTTGTTGGTGCAGAAGGAAAACACTCGGAACAACACATGGAACATGGTTGTTGTTCTCTTCTAAGTTCTACGCATACAACACGATTCCAAACTCCTCTTTTGAACCCTTTAAGCACCTCTTTCAAGAAATGGAGAAACAAAATGAATTAGATAATCCAGATATTTGAAGAACAATTAAGGGCCAGCCATTTAATCAAAGTGACATGTTGAGATGGACAGTTTGAATGGTGATGCCCTGAAAGCTCTGCATTAGGTGCATTAGGTGCAAATGGCAAACCAATTAGAGAGACCGTCACTTTGATCCCATTAAGGTGAATCTTAATGCTATCCCTTCAGTCTTGTTGCGCCATCAGATCAGCCCTCACAATGTGGTTGAGAGCAGAGGTAATGCACATTAATGACAGTTCGATGAGAGACATCAGGAGCATATGGTGCTCTCCTATAGCCATTATCATACCGTCCCTAAGCAGGCACTGAGAACGATCAAATCTGTTTTGAGGCAGATGTATAAATGATTGCAGCTTTTATTATCTCAGATCAAATATAATGTAGCTGCATTGTACAGTTTTTATTGCAGACCACACTATGACCTACAATATGATACGGTGGGATACTTAACGCATTAAGCTGCCTCTAATCAATAATTAAAGGCAATAGAAACAAACAACAATCCACATGGGAACAGAGATGCATACCAATGCATTGCACATTACCCATTTTTCACACGTTCTGCAAAACAAAATAAGAGAAAAAGATAAAGAAAAGGATAAGAACACTGTGCGACTATTGCACCGTTCATGCAGCCTGACAAAACATTAAACATTTTAATCAGGTGGTGACAAACAAGTTGCTCAAATTGAGTTTACAAGACAAATCTTATCGAATGACTAGGATTTAGCCTTTGGTGCTATGGTTACATTTTTGGCTTTGAGGTGTCCTTGATTCATGTACAGTCGTGATGGAAAAAACATATTTACATTGTTAACAGTCAGTGTCAGTTATTTTCTCGGGAAAATTAAATGTGCAAATGGAATTGGAGCCGAGGCATGTTTGCTTACAGAGATATGTAAAAATAGAAATTGTCATCAGAGCTGATGGATTGCAATACCACAAATCTTAGAATCAATCTCCTATCACCTGACAACAATAAAGCCTTTTGGAGCAACTACCTACTACGTACCAACTACAACTTTTTGGGGCTTCCGATTTGGTCCATGATGCGGGTTCAGATAAAGAACACCCCACCAAGACTTTGATTTCTCTTTGTTGAAAATTGATGTGTAAAAGCAGGTTGTTTGCTGCACTTCATGCAGATGTCTGTCATACTGATTTTTAAAAGCTCATTCATTTTTTAGATTGTTGTAGATTATGGATAATGGCCATTCACACTCTTCCTGATTTGCACTCCACTGAGACTTTATTCCTTCAAACAACCAAAGTCATTGAAATGCTATTAGACAAAAAAAATATTGGACAACAAACGCTTCCATCACCAAGAGAGAAGTTATATGCCTACAGATTCAACGTTCCTATGAAACATTTGCTTATAAAGATTACATTATGTCCAGTATATTGTGTCTGATTGCACATGGATGGTTCTCCCTTAACCCTTAATGAAACACTCATACTTGGACTACAAGCAGAAACTTGAATGACACAGATTCTGTGTTCATTTGGAGATATTGGTTTTCAAGACAATATCTCTTGACCTAAAGTTTAAGGAGTGTAATGCTTCATAGTCCCCTTTTGTCTACAATTACCATATAAACCACTCATGCTGACCTCATCTTACACTGTCACCATCAGCTTTATCAGGGGAACTAGCTGTGGCATGCCCACCCTAATCGTGACCCTGCGGTTGTCTCCAGTGTGGAGAGCTTCTTGTAGCCGAACCCGACACAATGGAGCACCTCTTCCCTCCACCTGCCCCCTCATGTCTCTCTATTTTCCTGGGCAATAGGGGGGTGGAGGGTTTGGGGTGGGGGGGGGTTGGCTTGATGGAGAGGTGGTGGTGGGGGGGCACTCTGCTTCCCCTGGGGCTGCCTGCTGGAGCGAGGTGACCCAGCTTGTCGCTCGGTGACCTGT